ACTCTATACCCTTATTAAATACCATCGCAAAAATCTTTTCCATTTTAATTGATTATATTTTCTAGTTGATTCTCTTCTAACATTTAGTAGACTAGGTTGAATAACTTTAGAGAAAGACATCTCCAACTTCATTAAAGACTTATTGCCCATGCTATCAGATATGGCCATGGGTCTGGATGGTACACTTTTCTTTGCTGTTGAGTCAGAAGGTCCATTAACACTAAGTATCTGTAATTCATCTGTAATTCCCAGATCCATGTCATCCAGTCCATAGCTTGGACCTGGATGTTATGGATCTGGAAAACTTTCTTCAGTTCTTTGTTGGACAGGTTACCCGGAAGGAGGCTGGTAAGGAAATGTCAGAGTTGACCAGTAAGGCCAAGGATTCCACAGCATTTGCCATTCTTACCAATTTGGCCAGTACAGTAACATGTCAGGGCTGAGATACTTGTGTTTGTAATAGTTTGCGTCCACTGGAGATCTTCGAGATTGTGGTTCTGTACCCAATTTCCTCTTCACTGTTGCCAAATTAACCAGAACCAAAACCTGCTATTCCACAGACACTTGTATGTCCTCAGTATTAACTGCCATTGGTGCCTATATAAACACCCAGACTCACAATTCTTTGGAACTCAAAGAAAAAGATTTAGAGTAGGGCTGTTGATTAACTTCAAAAATTAATCACAACTAACTGCAGTTTTAATTGCACTGTTAAACAACAGAATACCAATTAAAATTTATTAAACATTTTTGGATGTTCTTCTACATTTTCAACTATAGATTTCAATTACAACACAGAATACAAAGTGTGCACTGCTCACTTTATATTCTTTTTATTACAAATATTTGGACTGTAAAAATGATAAATAGTATTTTTCAATTCATCAAATACACATACTATAGTGAAATCTTTTTATCGTGAAAATGCGACTTACAAATTTAGATTTGTTACATAACTGCACTCAAAACAAAACAATGCAAAACTTTAGAGCCTACAAGTCCACTCAGTCCTTCTTCTTGTTAAGCCAATCACTAAGACAAACAAGTTTGTTTACATTTACGGGAGATAACGCTGCCCACTTCTTATTTACAATGTCACCAGAAAGTGAGAACAGTGTTCACATGGGACTTTTGTAGGTGGCATTGCAAGGTATTTACATGCCAGATATGCTAAACATTTGTATGACTCTTCATACTTCGGCCACCTTTCCAGAGGACATGCTTACATGCTGATGACGCTAGTTAAAAAAATGCATTAATTAAATTCTCCTTGGGGGAGAACGGTACATCTCCTGCTCTGTTTTACCCGCATTCTGCCATATATTTCATGTTATAGTAGTCTTGGATGATGACTCCGTACATGCTGTTCATTTTAAGAACACTTTTGCTGCAGATCTGACAAAACGCAAAGAAGGTACCACCAATGGAAGATTTCTAAAGATAGCTACAGCACTTGACCCAAGGTTTAAGAATCTGAAATGTCTCCCAAAATCTGAGAGGGATGAGATTGAGCATTTTTTCAGAAATCTTAAAAGAGCACCACTCCAATGAAGAAACTACAGAACCCAAACCACCAAAAAAGAAAATCAAGCTTCTGTTGGTGACATCTGACTCAGATTATGAAAATGAACATGTGTCGGTCCGCACTGCTTTGGATCGTTATAGAGCAGAACCCGTTATCAGCATAGGCACATGACCTCTAGAATGGTGGATGAAGCATGAAGGGACATATGAATCTTTAGTGCATCTAGCATGTAAATATCTTGCGACACACCGGCTGCAACAGTGCCATGTGAATGCCTGTTCTCACTTTCAGGTGATGTTGGGAACAAGAAGCAGGCAACATAATCTCCTGCAAATGTAAACAAACTTGTTTGTCTGAATGATTGGCTGAATAAGAAATAGGACTGAGTGGACTTGTAGGCTCCAAAGTTTTACATTGTTTTATTTTTTAATAGTTATTTTTGTACATAATTCTACATTTGTGAGTTCAACTTTCATAGATTCTTAGATATTAAGGACAGAAGGGACCATTAGGATCATCTAGTCTGACCTCCTGCACAATGCAGGCCACAGAATCTCACCTACCCACTCCTGTGATACACCGCTTACCTATGTCTGAGCTATTGAAGTCCTCAAATCATGGTTTAAAGACTCCAAGAAGCAGAGAATCCTCCAGCAAGTGACCCGTGCCCCATGCTACAGAGGAAGGCAAAAACCCTCCAGGGCCTCTTCCTATCTGCCCTGGAGGAAAATTCCTTCCCGACCCCAAATATGGTGATCAGCTGAATCCTGAGCATATGGGCAAGATTCACCAGCCAGATACCCAGGAAAGAATTCTCTGTAGTAACTCAGATCCCACCCCATCTAACATCCCATCACAGGCCATTGGGCCTATTTACCATGAATATTTAAACTTTTATGATAAAGAGATTGCAATACAGTACTTGTATTATGTGATTTGAAAAATACTATTTCTTTTGTTTTTTACAGTGTAAATATTTGTAATCAAAAATATAAAGTGAGCACTGTACACTTTGTATTGTGTGTTGTAATTGAAATCAATATTTGAATATGTAGAAAACATCCAACAATATTTAAATAAATGGTAATCTATTATGCGATCAAAATTCATTTTTTTTAATCATACAATTAATTGGGGTTATTTTAATCACTCGACAGCCCTAATTTAGGTGTTCTCTTTGTGTCTCTGATCTGTCCAGCCATGATCCATCAGTTCCAATGAATCTCCAGAATAAATGTTTTGTCTTCTGTCTTGGAACTGAGGGCCCTGGTTCTGTGGAAATGCCCGGCATAGAGAATCTATAGTTGCTTCTGGATTTCCTCAACACCGGTGGCCTTCTGTGGTGTCAGATCAGATGACTTTGGTACCGAATGCTCAGTCTCTTTTGAGCTGGAACTTGGTGCGGAGACTGTTGGTCTAAGTACCAAAGTTTTGCTGGAACTGGAAGGGCTCTGAGCTGAACCAAGCCTCTTGGTTTTTAACCACATAATGCCTTAGGAACCTTAAACCTGGAGGATACGGTAGATAAGGCTTCTTGCAGAAGAGCTTGGAGTGTTTTGCCTCTCTTTTCTAGCTCATGGTGTGAAAGTGCTGCAAATAGAGCAACATGAAAGAAAATGTCCTTCCTCCAAGCATTTTAGGCAGAGCGCATGGGCATCAGAATCCGTAACAATGCACATCTTTTTGATCATTGTGTTCTGATCTTTGGATCTGCCATAATAATCTAAAAAAACGAATACTAACACTTAAACTAACTCTAATGCTAACTATATAAAAAAACAACTGGACACTTATCCCAACTATTTAAATGATCTTGATCCATAGAAGATTATCATCCATCCATGTCAGAGGAACTGAGGCCGTAACTGCAAGCACCCTATTTAAAGTCACACCGTCGGAATGTGTTTGGAGCTTGGGGGCAGAGCAGGAAGGGCTAGGACTGCTAGTAGAAGGCTGCACCATTCAATGGGACCAGTCAGTGCACATCCCAAGCATGGGGAATATGCAGGGGACACTCGAAGAAGAGCCAGTTTATTTTTTTTCTGTTCTGACTCCAATATATATAATCCCAGATCAGTAAGGCAGTATTTAGTCCCAGAATCACACACCAGTTTAAGATGCATCCGATGAAGTGAGCTGTAGCTCACGAAAGCTTATACTCAAATAAATTTGTTAGTCTCTAAGGTGCCAGTAAGTCTTCAGTTTAAGATGGTGAGCCAGATATGGAAGAGAGGAGTATTACCTGCACACAAACTGCCTAGAGTTCATCGCCAAAGTGTGTGCTATAAAGAGGCTCATGAAAGACAGTATTATCCTGTGTTATCAAATCTATAAACAAGCTGGGGTTCTGAGGCAACAGAAAAAGCCAACTCTAGTGAAGGCATACTGGGAATACTTCCTTCTGCACCAAATCGCTGTACTTGCAGAGCATATTCCTGGGCTATTCAGTATAGCAGCAGGCTGGAACTCCCCACGCTCTGTGTTCTGGTGACTGAACCATCATGACCGAAGTAATCTCTCTCATCCAAAAGGAAGTGACACCTCTAAGGCTGGAACTTTTTACCTACTGCCTAAGCTCGTAGCTGAAGCAAATCTTTAGTTTAGCAGTTAGCTATTTTGCTGCACAGAGTTTCTTTCAGCAGAGTCTGAGATATCAAGGTCCTGAGTACAATACAGGCAGACAGTTCACTGCCACTGAAGAGTGCTTTTCTGTGGTATGTAGAAATATAGGCTAACTCCACATATTATGCCACTTTTGTCCACAATCCTTGATTTTGTGTGTTTCAACATGAGAAAATATGAAGCTAGGATAGGGGACCTCAGGGCAAGGGCCAACTGTTAATGTCCTTCAGAAAGCCTTACCTCTCTATCTTGCTCCAAAGCTTAGGTAAACTTGAGGTAGCAGCAGGAATCAGAAAAGGAGCCAAAGGTCACTTTACATGCGGCTAATTTGTCAAAGGGCTGATTCTTTACACCCAGTTACTCATTCTTTTCCGTTTGGTTCTTATATTGTCCACAGCACAATGTTATCTGAGTGCTTCATATTTGGAGGTTGGCTCTAACAAAGACTTTAAACACAGTATATAAGGAGCTTCCAAATTTTGACAAACTCAAAATATTCCTAGGAAGTTTTTGAGGCAAGTTATTATGTTCTCCCCACTCCTCCTCTCTCCACTTTGTAAACAACATTTTCTGTTAAGTTTCTGAAATGAAAGTCCCAAACTGAGAACCCATTACAAGATATTGACCAGAAAACACAAAGGATTTCAGATGTTTACTCGTCAATTATTTTAATTATGGCTAATCATCTGCACTTTCCACGGTAGGTTTAAAGACAAAATTAAAGAATCTTCTTTTAATGCCATTATTGTTTTCCTAGTGCATATCATGGTATCTTCAAATTGTTGTATAATAATGGATACCAAGATTTTTTACCTACTGAGAAGATTAAAAAAAGAGAATTAGAAACAATGGATTTCGCTGTCTGTTATTTATTCAGGTATTTTAGAGTGTCCCTAAAAACTGTTTTTCCACTGAATAGTGGTACTCTAAGTCAAGCACAGCATTGTTTGCACGTAAAACATTTAGTACAAAGTTCTATATGTTGGATAATAGCAGTAATAAAAAGAATGAGAGGACATTCCTCAGGGTACCCCTAGATAGAAGGAATTTGTCTGAAGATACAAAATTAACTGAAATTTTAGCAGCACATTAGATGACAGGACATTTTCTGTCTTAATTGAAACCATGCAATTGCTACACATATATTCTGCAGTTCCAAGTGAGCTGGGCAATTGCCTTTAGACATCTAGGGATATTGCAGCATCTGGGAAAACTGGTTGTATCACTAGATTACAGACGTCTGTGTATTATCAAACCATGAGCTTGATTATAATCTCACAACAATTAAAAAGGGACTAATTTCACTGCAGTAAAACTGGAGAGATCAGAAACTGGTGCTTTATGTTTTAACAAACCAACCCAAACAAACCAAGGAAGCTTTCAGTCCCTTCCTGACAGACTTAGAGGGATGTTAGGTTAAAGTGCTTCAGTGGATTGTAGCTGTCATAGTTGGAGTCATAGTTGGAGAGGCAGTCCCAGAGCTACCTATGACCTACACCATTTTAGGGCTTTATAAATTAAAAATAACATCTTAAATTAATCTGGAAATTAATAGGAAGCTAGTGTAGATTGATGATCAACACAGGTGTGAAGTGCTCTGCACTGTTGCCAAGCACACAAGCTGCCACATTCTGCACTAGCTGTAATTTCCGGGTGGCATTAAGGCATATAGGATGTTGAGGTAATATGATCTGGAGGTGACAAAGGCATGAATTACGGTGGTGACATCCCAAAGAAAAGGTCACAACTTCCTGACCTAGCATTGATGATACAAAACATTCTTGAAACACTACTAGAAACAGCTGAGGATCCAATGAGACCAAGACTCTCTCCAGTAGAAGAGAGCTGATATTATTGTTGATGTTTTTCTGGTCGTTTGCCCCAGTCAATGAGCATGCTTCCTACGTGGCCTGAATCTCAACTAGTTTGCCCTCTTATTCCAGCCAGTCAATGGGTAAATCTATAAAATGAACCATCTAATTCCATGAAATGGGGAGAGGACAACTGTATATCAGCTTTCTTTGGTGAACACTGATTTTTGGTGATTTAATACCATTTAGTTTTTAAAGATGTCTTGCTCCCAGACTTGCCCCAAATTAAACATGCTTAGTAGGGGCCTATCCTTATGAGTTCAGGGAATCCTTGCTAGTACACTGAAATTGTCAGCAACTGCTCTCCGACGTCACTCTCTCAGTGCTCTCAAAATATCCAGGAGCTAGGGAATTCTGGCTCTTTGAAAAAGCACAAGACATAATATTGCTTCAAGGCCCAACCGCACAGAGAACCTTAAGTGCGTAAAAGTTGCAGAAAAAAGTTACTTGCAGACTGCAAATTTATTTGCTGGTTTGGGTGCACATTAACTATTTTCAGCTTTTGTTGCTCAGTGCCAGGCTTTTATAGGCGAGGTTTACAGAGAATACTTACACAGGGACAAACATGGCTACAACAACACTGCATACAGAATACTTAAAAAAATTCAATTCAGTCCGGTAGGGCAGACAATTTTTGTCAGGAACTTATCCACAGCTAAGGAAATTTTTAGGAAGTTCAGACTACATAGTATATTTTGGTATATCCTTTGCACTTTTTTGGCAATGTCTGTTTTCCTACAGTGTTAAATGCTAAGACTTATTTCAATTCTATTTTTTTCCCCCAATGCTTTTTTGATTTTTCCACTACCCATGTTTCATTTCTTTTCTCCTCTTCTCCCATGTTTCCTAGCACCCTGCATTTCCTGTTCTGCCTCCACTCTCCCTAACACATTCTTCTTAGCTAATCCTCTCCATCTATCATCTCTTACCTCCCTTTCCTAGCCCAGGAGTAGGGGTACACACGGTAACTTGAGAGCATTTGTTTCTTCTACCTATTTAAAGAGGGAAAAAAGCTCATGGGGACATTTCTCCCCCCATTCCTAACTCAGCAGAGGGCCAGGGAATGGTCAAGTCATGGGGAAACCTTTCCCCGTTTCTGGTAAAGGAGATGGGTAGAGTATTGTGGTTCTCTGCATCTCCCTTTCTCATTCAAGGAGAAAGGCAGTAAATCAGGAGACACCTCTGTCCCTGCCTTTCCAGCTAAAAGTCCTCTTCGCTTCTCCCCTTTATAGGGCTTGATCCTGCAACCACTGACTTCAGTGGTTCAGGATCAGACACACAGATCTCTGTAGTGGCTCCCAATATTGTATTCAGGAAAACAAGCCCAGTAGTTGCAATCCCCAGAATCATTACTATATTAAACAATCACCTCAATTCTCAGACAAATAACTTCACTAAACTTTCAGTTGCTCAATAAATAAAGAAAACAATACAAAAATACCAAAATATTAGTTAAAAAAGCCTACCAAAATATTAGTTAAAAAAGCCTACAATGTAATTTAGCTTAACTGTCCCAAAGAAATGTTAGAAATAGGATACTCTGCAATCACTTGGCATCACAAATGGCAAAGTGATGGCTACAGTGGAAAATTCCATAAGCCTCCCCCAAAACAAACTATTTTAAAAAGTATGGAAATAATAATAATTGTACATAGATTTGAACATCCCTACATTACATACAAATCTACACATTTGCTTTGAGGGAAATTTTGCCTGCATCTGAATGTTGACGAATGACATGCAGGGAGCATACTGAAAGATCTACCTGGCACCTTGACTCCAATGCATTGGACTTCATGCCTTTGAGACTGATGAGGCAATGTGGAACTCAAGTCTGAACTGTATGTGATAATTCAGCTCTACCAAAAATTATAGCTCCCAGTACGGCCACCATTCAATTCTACTGTTTTTGACAACTTCTTCCTTGAAAAAGCAGCACTGTTCTGGAGTTGGTCTCACTGAATGCACAGAGGAATGCCAAGCACTAATGGGTTCTATTACTGCAAGATGCTGAGCACTCTGGCCCTGATCCACTTAAGCCTGTGTAACTTTAAGGACTTAAGTAGTCCCACAGAAATCACTGTCTTAAGTTCTTTGCGAGATCAAGGCCAGAATGCTCAATACCCTGCAAGACTGAACCTTATTGTCAGGCATTCATTTTAGGACTAGATAGCACCAGGAAGCACCTTTGAATAGAGCTGGCTTGAAGATAAATAATGGTTCTCACCAGGTTTGAAGCCACTGATCTGTTGTTTCTCAGTTTCTAAACTGAAATAATGGAATAGGATTATTTCTTAGTTGAAAACTAGAAGACAATAGGTTAAAAAAATTCTACAGAAAAATAACACATTCAGCAAAAAAACACAAGGAATGCCATGTTGAATTCACAACATATCAGCAGAGGAAACAATGTTTTTCTTTATAGAGGAACTAATAATAATACTTAGCCATTATCCTGCACAAGCAGGTTGTTCACTGCTGACCAAGTGGTGTAATGGCTATAAATTCTGAGTTCTGAATATTCTGGAAAAAAAAAAAAAGACAGGCACAATGGACACATAATACTGAAGTTCAATTATAATACTGTAACTGAATCTAGAGGAAAAGTGCATTACTGAGTGACAGAGTGCCATGTTCATAATTAATGTGCTCTGCTAATCAAGTGGAAGAACTCATAGTATCTGCTAATAAGCAGATTCTTAAAATTATTACATTGTAGAAATTATTCTCGAACAGATTCTTCATCACTAAGATTTTAAGATAAAGGAACAGAAAAATTCTTGAGAAAAGTGTTTGATTATAAGCTCTTCAGGATTGTATCTTCCTATGTATTGGTATAGTGGCTGGCTCTGGGGGCTTCTGTAAGAATAAATATATAATAAATAAGGAATCAAACCTAAAAACAGTCTCTTTCTTTCTTTCTATTGGCATTTACTTCTCTTTTCACACCACTGGACTTACTCTAAGACTAGCAAAGATATTTAATGTGATTTATAAAATATGTTCCCATCAACGACATCTAGGTACAGGTATAATATCATGACAGACAGGGAGTTACAAGAGCCAGATCTGTAGGATGCCTTTTATAAGTACATGACAATGAAAGTTTCAATATAACATTCTTGGAAACAAGAATGACCATTTCTCAAACACAACACATAATTTAAAGGATACTCAGCATCTTAAAATATTTGTTTACATACTGCAGCCTATAAAATATTATCCTAAGACCAAATATTTAACATGAGTATTAAAATGATAGAAGTAATGAGGGAACATATCAGGTCTCAATAGACATTAATTATTAAAAACTGAACCAACAGAAAAAATCAGAGTGATGAACTGAAGAATTTTCTAATATTTTCATGTTTATGTAAATCAGGTAGCAAGTAAAGGGAGCAGACACACGGATTCTTCTTCCTGAAGAGCATCAGAACATTTGTTCAATGTCTGAACAATACAGTATTATAGTTTTAATCTAAGTTACTGCTTTTAAAAAAAAAAAGTGTTCAGTGCCAGTTTCCACTATCACTGTTTTGGAGCGTCCACTGAAGAACTTCAATGGAATTCTTCAGGGCAGGCTTGGCTATGATCCCTTTTGCATGTTTGAGATAAGAACAGAGGGTTTTTTTTTTTTTTTAACTGCAGATTAGTTAAAATTATAGGCTTATTTTATTTACAGTATTTAAAGTTTAGTTTTCTTTCCCCAACAGTGAAATATGTGGGAGGGATTACTACATGTTACACAATGTAAAATAGATTTTAAAAAGCCAAACCAAAGCTTGTGAGTAAAACTGTATAATGTTTGTTCTACGCTCAAGCACATTGCACCATCAAATGAAAAGTGCATACGTTCTATCATGCCTAAAAGGCCTACTGTATGATCCAAAAATCCAAACAGACATGGAAAGTAAATACATACAGGTTTAGATACAGTGCCAAATGAAAAGAAAATACTATGAACTATCTCTTGAAAGCTTCTTGTCACAGGAAGGAGCATGGTTTCTTCTGAAGTAAAGCAGCACTTTTCATGTCGGACACAGAACTGCAAAAGAACCACAAATATACAGGCATAAACCTCATTAAACACAGTGTGCATAAACAGATTGCAGGGTACAGTAAACAAACATGAAGAATGCTTAGTTCTATATTCTAAAAGCAGTGAATAAAATCCAGAATTGAAACAGTTGATTAAACTGCAACCCTCTTCCCAAAAGAAAACTTTATGACAAAAAAATGCTATCACTAACTAATATTACACAGAAATGAGTTAACTAAAGATCATGTCTTAACAATGGTGTTTTTACACTTTACATTTTACAAGCTTGTCTATCCTGAGGAATTAACTATAATTTCATGGAACATTCAAGAAAAAGTGGAAGTGCTACCATGCAGTGAAATATTAAAATATGTACTGAAAATTTCAGATGACAATTCTAAGCTTGATGTGTGTACCCTGTGAATCATGTAAAGTGGGAAGACATGTCCTTCACATGTTTCTCATTCCTGTTTCACATCTAAGAGACAAACCTCAGAGCAATCCAGCTTTCAAACCAATGCTAGCACAATACAAAAGCAAATAAAGAAGTCAGGTGTAACAAAGAAACACAAAAACTTTAAATAATAAAGACAAGAAAATAAATTCTCATGATCAGAAACACTTTCAAAATTTAAAAATAAAAACAGACAGTTACATTTTTGCCTTTTAATATAAAACAAAAAATCAGTTTCAGTCCTTATTGGTAACTTAGAAGATCAGGTGTGGGATAAAATAAACAAGTTCAAAGATGGGAAATCATACCACTTCCACAATCTAAATAGTCGGGGGTCAGAAGAATAATTAAAAACTATTTAAATTGCCAGAAAGACAAATACACACATTTTCTTCCATTTTACTTGGTGGTATGTGTAGCAATATTTTTCTTGAACTACCTTAAGTCATAACCACTATTTTTTCATTTATGGGCAACGAGGCAAGAATACTCAGATTAGTTACAAGTTTTAAGCCAGTCAGTTTGTGTTACTGTAAGAATGGAACATTTTAAAAAGGAGCTTACTCTGGTTAAGCATCCATATGGACTTAATAAAGTAGTTTTTCAAATAGGAAAGTATTATCTATATTTATAAAAGTCTGTGTGTCAAGAATAAGCAAACCTAATTGGCTTTCATAGATGAGTTTATCATAATGGTAATATATAACGCATGCAAAAAACCTACTGTAATGTATTGTTAAGGCTAGAGATTTAATTTAACAAATCAAAAAATTCAAGCTATAGATATCTATTTAGGTTTTTTACACATGGCCATCAGCAAATTTATCTTTGGCCCTTTGTGTTCATGTATTTCAACAAAGTCTATATATAATCATGCCACACAATAATGAAAAATACTACATACTATATTCTCACCAATTACAAATAAGTTTTATTCCTTTGTGTATAATGATGTAATATTTACCGAATAGCATCCCATTATGTGATCATGCAATGAGATTACAGTAGTGTAATGCATACTGTGTATGTAAGTAGACAGTGAAGGCTGCTGTGAGAATATTAAAGGAAATGATTAATTTAATCATACTTATCTGAACATTTTGTACCTACTATTATTGCAGGTAACACCCAAGAACACTCACTAGCAGAGATTACAGAAAATACATTAATCTCTGCTCTGCAGTTTGCACGAAGTGCTGTAAAATGCACAAACTAAATAGTTATTTTCATTATTTCCCCTGCTTTTGTTGGTCTTTCACATGATAATATGAGAAGAAATTTTTTTTAAAAGAAAAATTTTGTAAACCACAAAAATTGGGAGATTAACTGGAGAAAGTATACCACCCAAAAATACTTTTAACTCATTATTTGAAATTTCCAATTTCAAACTGATGGAATACTTTTATTTAACTGAAAAATTTAAAATCTTGGCCTTGATTCATTAATATAGATTTTTCCTGACACTAAACACATCCCTCTCCTTCAGATCACTAACATCTCAGACTTCTGCTTCCTCCATTCTGGCTTGGGATTGAAACATGGCTATTATGGTTTTCAAGTGCCAAACATATTCACAACACCTGCACACCACCTTCAAACGACAACACCTGCACACCACCTTCAAACGACAAGCCTGGGAGCTTATATTCATAACTTTGCTACACACTGAAAATCATGGACTTAATAAAGACATAGTATTTACGGCTTGTTAGAACAATCTGTAACCCACTAAAACCACCTTTTTTGCTTTATGATTGCAGGGGTGTTAACTGGCCACTTCATCACTTCTCTTACCATATGTGTTAACTACATATGCTAAACAATGTGTTCCACTTTGTATTTAGCTGTGACACTTTGGGTATGTCTACATTGCAATTAGACAACCATGCCTGGCCATGCCAGCCGACTTGGGTTTGCAGGGCTAGGGCTAAAGGCCTATTTAACTATGGTGCAGATGTGTGGGCCCAGGCTGCAGCCCAAGCTCTGGGATCCTCCCATCTCACAGGATCTTAGAACCTGGGGTCCAGTCCAAGCCTGGACTTCTACGCCACAATTAAACAGCCCCTTAGCTTGAGACCCACAAGCCTGAGTCAGCTGGCATGGCCCAGCTGCAGGTGTCTACTGCAGGGCAGATATACTTAAGAGTATCTGTCCCAGACCTGAAGAGCAGCTCTGTGTAAGCTTGAAAGCTTATCTCTTTCACCAATAGAAAATGGTCCAAAATAATAAATTACTTCATCCACCTTGTCTCTCAATCATATTCAGAAAGATTTAAACACATCTGGAATGCAGCCTAGACAATGTCTGACTGAATTTCACGTTAGTAAGTATTTCCAATCTAAAAAGCATACACTGACCCATATCTTGCTGAATAATGAATTACAATGTACTAAATATAAATCACTAAGCCCCTTTCATTACCAACTACATAAAGATGGAAACAATGGTGAATTGTGACAAAGAAGAACAAAAGGATTTTAGACTGCATCAAAAATAGTATGAACAAAACAAGGGAATTATTCCATTGTGCAATACCATGAAAAGACCCTGTCTGGAACTGTGGGTCTAGTTTTGGGTAACTTGCCTCTGAAGAGGTACACATTTTAGAGAGGATTCGAAGAAGAACTACATAATTGATCACTGGAATGAAGGGTCTTGGCTATGAGGATGAGCTGAAGTCATATTTTTAAAGTAAGTTTATTTTTAACATCAGTTTTAAAGACTTTTTTGAATGGCAAACACAATGTAAAGTATTTTGATACCAAACACAGAGATCCACTAAATCATCCCTTCCCCCCCTGCATAATGTGATGCCTCAGTGGAAACGGCCCCAAGTTGGCTGGCCTTTTTAGCTATTTTACTTCATTACACATTCACATCCAATTTGTTCTAGGTCTCTTTTGGCATTGGTACCTTTGAGGATCTTCCCACTCACTCACTTAGATGCGTTACCTGGCATTTTTACCAGTTAGAGCTCAATTTATTAATTCCTCCCTCTATTTCATACCGTTTTTAGCCTTTCTGCTTTATTAGTTCTCAACACCTAATTTAGTACCAACTTCAATTTTCTTATTTATCATTTGTAGCATTATAGTGCCTAGAGATCCTATCCAAAATCAGGTCCTATTGTACTAAGTGCTGTACACATACACAAGCAGAGTACCTGCCCTGAAGACCTCATTTTATTTAGACAAGACAGGCAAAGGGGGAAAAGAGAAACAAAGGCATAGAAAAGAGAAGTGACCTGGCCCTAGGTCACACAGAAAATCAGCGGCAGAGCTGGCAACAGAAATCAGATTGCCCAAGTCCTTGCGCAGTGCCACAGGCAGTAGACTAAGCTGTCTTTCCCAATTCATTAGCATGTTGTTCTACACACTCAGCCATACCAGTGATGAAGCTATTGAAGACCAAACAATACAGTAAGTTCAACAAAACCCTACCACACATCCCAACTCAATGCAGTAGTTATTACCTGTGTTTAGTCCTCCACAAAGTTGATAATCAACATGTCAGTACTCAACCATATTTGAGAGAACTTGACACTTCGTATAAAAATGCTTTAATGAAATCCAGCGAATCTCTCTGTTTACCTCAACTAATTTTTTGATTCTACCAAAAAAGCAATGACATTTGGCAAGATCTGTTCTTTACAAAACGTATGCTGTTTGTTGCTCAGTATTCCATTTACCTATAGATGAACACCTCTCTCTCCATGTTTGTTCCATTATACCATGAGGAACTGAAAATGGCATTGCTAAAATTGTTATATTTTATTTTCTCCTCCAATCCTTAGTTCTAAACAACTGCTCAACAATAACTGTCAGAGCTTTCTCATGTTATCTAATTCCCTTAATATGCATATCAGCCAGATGTGCGGGCCTGAATACTTTCATATTTTTTAAGTATTCCCTTCTCTGCTTTTTATCAAGAGTGCAAATTGTGCCTGGATACAAGGGTTCACTGAAGATGATAGCCACTTAATAAGGACTTTTAGTAGAGAACTATTTTTCTGCTTGAGAAACAGTATTCAGGAGTCAGCTAATTATATTGACAAGATTCAGTATTATCAAGACTTCACGCAGAGCTGCACAATGTGCCATTATCCCATAACAGCCCTGCCCACTCTTTTAGGGAAAATATAGGTCCCTAGCGAAACAAAAAAGTCATTTGATTTTAACATACTTCAATACTTTCATGATGCAATTAACACTTATTTTTTTCTGTATTTCATTTCTTGACTCAACCTTAACAACAAGTAATCTGTCTTGTATTTATCAAAATAGCTAAGACTAGAACCAATTATAGGAAATCAGGTCAGTTATCACTAAACACACATCTATACTTCTAGAAAGTGGCATGCTGCCCCAAAATCCTCACTGTTGTTCTGATCTTGATCAAGAAATCCTCAACATTTCCAATGAAGAGAGACTACCTTCAAAAAAGCAGGTAAAACATTTTACCCTGAATTCAGGGATGAAGTTGGAATTCTTATACAAGAATGGTTAATGATAGCAGCAAATGGCTCCAAGGCACTGCAACATCAAAGCCTGCCTGAACAGATTGTTTAAAAAGATCTAATCCTCCATTAATAATCCTTTGAAAGAACCGTCTACATGCCAGATAGACTAATGTCTGAGAACATTTTGGGTATGTTTATATAGTAACTCCTTGCTTAATGTTGTATTTATGTTCCTGAAAAATGTGACTTTAAGCAAAACAATATTAAGCGAATCCAATTTCCCCATAAGAATTAATATAAATGGGGGGGGTTAGGTTCCAGGAAAATTTTTTTCACCAAACAAAAAACTATATTATATATACATACACACACACACACTATAAGTTTTAAACAATTTAATACTGTACACAGCAATGATGATTGTGAAGCTTGGTTGAGGTAGTGAAGTTAGAGGATGGAAGAGTGTGGGATATTTCCCAGTGAATGCCTTACTGCTAAATGATGAACGAGCATTCAGCTGAGCCCTCAAGGGTTAACACATTGTTGTTAATGTAGCCTCACACTCTACAAGACAGCATGAATGCAGGGAGGGAGACAGCATGGCAGACAGACACACACACCCTGTGTGTGGGAGAGAGAGAAAGAGATGCGCATTACCTCTTTAAGTACACTGCCTTTTTAAGTATATCAGGAAGTTGAGACAGCAGCTGCAGCCAGCAAGCTCTCTCAGTCCTGAGCCCTGTCATGTCGCAACTCTGCTCTACATGGAGAAGGGGTAAGCGGGGGGCAGGGGACACCCTGACCTTAGTCCCCTCCTTCACTCCATCCCCCCACACAGGAAGAGGGAGGCTCCTGGGAGCAGCTCCAAGGCAGAGGGCAGGAGCAGCACATAGCAGTGGGGGGAGGGACAACTGAACTACCGGCAATTGATAGCCTGCTGGATGGCTGCCGCACAGGGAACTTAGGGGAGCGGGGTGCTGATAGGGGAGCTGCTGGTCCACCCTGGTTCCAAGCCCCCACCAGCTAGCTGCAACAGTCTGCTCTTCCTTCAAAACAGGTGACTGCCAAACAACATTATAAGGGGGCATTGCACAACTTTAAACGAGCATATTCCCTAACTGATCAGCAACGTAACAACGTTAACTGGGACGACCAAGCGAGGAGTTACTGTACTGCACTTGGAGGTGTGATTGCAGCTCATACAGACATACCCAAGACAGCTTGAAAACCACCAGCAGTGAAGCCATAGCTACATGGACGAACCACCCAAGTACACAGCTGGGCTCCCTGGCAGACTTGTACTCCAGTTGGCTAGCTCATTCTGTTGCAGCTTCACTGTTGGTACCAAGCTAGCAAGACTGAACCTAGCTCAGGTATGTCTAACATGCTGCAATCACACCGCTGATTGCGGTATAAATATACCCCTTAGTCCTCAAATGAAGCCCAATGGAGCACGAGACCACTGACACCAACTGTGGAGTCATCATGCATCAAAAGGTCTTGGTGGCAGAGCAATGGAGAGATAATGTATTGCTCCAGGAACAGCTACAGAATATCTTACCGCTTGTTGGCATTGAAGCTTGATGCAGAGGAGGAATAGTCTCTAACTCTGAAGTTACACTGAGGTTTAGGTGACATCAACATAGGTGCCTACAAACCCTGTCAATGCCAACTGTTCATGCTTCAAGAATAACAGAGGTAGAAATGCTTCCCTGAAGTCTCCCAAATAGTGAGCATGCTTTGAACTATTCCTTAACTCAGGAAATTTATTCTATTTCCAGCACAATAGCAGATTTTGCAGGGGAGGGGGTTTGCATCATTGAAGCCTACTTATATTGGCTGCTTCTACTTGAATGGTACTGGCAGCTACCAATGAGCAGTCCCTGAATGGTGGTAGAAGCCTGCTTTTATTGCCTATCGAGATTATCACAGAAGTTCATAATAATATAGTACAATATCTATCTCTAGATCTGAAAGTGCTTTACAAAAAACAGCTAAAATGTCTTTGGATTCAATTTTGAATTGGTATGCTGAATTTAAAACAGATCATTTGTAAACTTAACAATTCCTATCTAAACAATTTTAGCATGTCTCAGGATGTCATCCAGCTATAACTAACAGGCTGAGTTAGGCACATCATGTAGTATCCTCATCAAACCATTTAGATATTACTTTAAATTGCTACAGTCCTTGTTCTGCTGTAAAAGTGCTCTGTATTTTGAATCTACTTCCATGTAAATACCAATTTTTAAGATCCAATTTGGAAAACAGCTCCTCTATTTGATTAGGAGAATGAATTCCACATTTTTATGAGGAAGTCTGACACAGTTTTCTAGTATTGATCCGCATGTAAATATGCAATACAGGGCTGGTAACAAAACCACTGAGAGCTCATCCTCACTGTTCACCTGTAATGAACTGTTTTCTTCGTTCTGCCCTGATCCCTTCCACTCATTCTGAGTGGACCGCTTGCTATTCCCCATCAGTTATGAGTCCAGACTGGAAGAGTGGTTGCGTACGGGAACAGGCCATTTAAATTTAACAGAAGATGTTCTAATCTGGAATTTTCCCCACTCTTGTACAGTTTTTATATGTTTATGGTCATTTAGGGTTTGAAGCATTGGAAGAGTTTCAACTGGGGCTGTGATGCACTTTCCAGGATTATATAAGGGGATGAGTGAAGATACCAAAAATCAGAGTCATCAGCCGCTTTGATGGCCCTGTGGGTGCAGTTAACTGATCAGTCATGACTCAGATTAGCAGAACGTGTGTGTAAAATGTGCCCATTCTGATTAGTATTTAATTACTAAAAATTATGACATTTTAAACATCCAAACTTCTTTCAAAATAGATACATTATTTTCTTCTCCTAAGAAATACAATTACTAAGTAATTTATTTCTTTCAATGCAGGGTTACTAAGTTGAAAAATAACTCCAATAGTATCACTAGAATTTTTTCAGCCTAATTGTTTTACCTGTCACATGAGAAAAAACTTAATTAGAAATTCTAGACAAAAAAGCAGCTTCTGCTATTTACTCTATATGAGATAAGGCAAAGCTAGAGAATTCAGACAAGACAGAGAAATTCTAGAAAGATTGTGAAGTCAAAATGTTATGCATTTGATAAAAGCTCCTGCCTGGCTTTATTTTAAGAAGACAGGAAATCAAACACAGACTGAATTCAACCAGTTAAACACCCTGCAAAAGTCATCTGTTTGACTGGATTTTTGGAGAAGACAGAACAAAAAAGATGGGGAAAGAGTGTTTGTAGGTGGCTGGCAGTGTTCTTGTTATAATGATTATTTTAATACTGCTGGGCTTTGTTGTAATATTAAATTATGTGTTGGGGGCCTTGCACATTTCATAGCCATCTTTTATTTTTATTTAAATTGAAATAAAGTCAGCATATTGAGTAAATTTATTGACAACTGTAAACTGGGAGGATTTGTAAATACTTGTGAGGTCAGAGCAATCAAAATTATGAGCAGGAAATACAAGAATCAGTTTAGAAAAATACAACCTACTAGGAATGAAGTGAATAAATCAAGTGATATATTATTTGAAAACAGATACTTGGAAAACAGTAACTCTAAAAACCAAGGACAGCAAGTCAGAGATGAATGTGCAGTGTCTGATCTGGCAACAAACAATGGTAATGCAATTTTGGACGGCATACAAAGAGGCATCACATCCTGGAGCAGGGATACAACAATTCTAGTTACACACTATGGTCTAGATCTTATAAAAACTTATGCCTATGCTTAACTTTAAGCATTGAAGTAAATGGGACTACTCTTATGTACATGCTTAAAAGTAAGCACAAGCGTTTGCACGTGCCTAAGTGAGAGAGGGAAGCAAGACTGTGCCTGAACTACCACGTTCTGTTCTGGGCATCTTAATAACACAGAGATGCAGACAAATTGGAGGGAGTTTAAGAGAAAAGACCAAAATAAGTAACAAAGGGATTAATTTAGGGAGAGAGATTAACTACACTAAACATGCATTGTATAGTTTAGCTCAAAAATAAAGTGGAGTGTGATAACTAAGGGAGAGAGACGATTTAAGATGAAATAACCAGTAGTGATGGAATGAACTAAGAATGCAATTTCAGGTGGAATGTCTAGAATCCTTATGATAAGCTCTATTAGATTGTGGAACTGTTTTTCAAGGTCAAAGATGATCCCCATTGCCTGACACACTGAAAATCAGACAATGTATAGCACTAGAAAATCTCCGGTAGGTACATTCAAACCTTTTAATTTTAAATGGAAACTGACAGAATAAAGAAAAATATCCAAGGACATTGTTCCTGGAAGATAGGTCAAACAATGGCGATTAGCCAGAATGGGCAGGGATACAAAACCATGCTTTGAAGTGTCCCTAGCCTTTCTGTTTGCCAGAAGCTGGGAATGGGCAACAGGGGATGGATCACTTGATGATTACCTGTTCTGTTCATTCCCTCTGAAGCACCTGGCATTGGCCACTGTCAGGAGATAGGATACTGGGTAGATGGCTCATTGGTCTGACCCAGTATGGCTGTTCTTATATTTACTAGTGACCAGAAGGAAAATTTCGAATTTATAGAAGTCTACAAGCCCTGTATCAGCAATGTGCATTATTTCCAGATTATTTAAGTAGTTCATTGTTTCAGAAAAATCTATCTAATAAATACATTTTGAACTATTCATATTTTACTTTGTATACTAGACCTTAAATTATTTAGTTTTGATACTATGACGTCCTATAGCAATCTTGTAATGTATTTTAGACCATCACAAAAGAAATTACCGTCACAATGTTTTATTTATGGTGTGACATGCTTAGGGTCTTCTGGGCACATAAAATAAAATTAAAGCCTAGCTTAATTAGAAGATAACACAGACCTATTAATTCATGAATGCCACAAGAACAGCATTTTAAAATATATATTTAATATACCTCATATTAACTTAAAATAAAAGATCCCAGCTAATGCATGCATACTAACAGGCATACTCACCCTTTAAAATGTAGTCTGTTAATAAGCTTGGCACTTTCTCGCTGTCCTCTTTCATAGCATAAAGGACTGAAGAGTATGGGAGAGGAAGGGTGGATGAGAAAAAGCAATAATTCAGATAATTAGTCTTAAATTAAAGATGTTACTCGAACAACCACACTGAAGATACTTTAACTACTCATCTAGATATTACATCCATATCAATTAGAAAATATGTAATTGGAATACTGAAAAAATGAATGGCAGACACATGGAGACTCCTCCACACCCCTTTCATATGCATAATTCTAACTCAAATCTATAGCGTATGCACATAAGAGCTGGGGAATTCGGTCAAGGAGTACCATATAATAAGACTCTCTTAAAACCACACTGAATTTTTCAAGTTTTTTTTCTTTAACATGATTGATCATATCAGACTTCGGTGTTTTCGTTTGTCATGTATTTCAATGCACTTTTATTATAAAAATCAATATAAACAGTAAAGAAAACACTAAAACATGGTATCAACATTTCTCATTCCACTTAGCAGCTGTCAATATTGTTTTGGAGTTTTAAAACAGGATCTTTACAATGAGGAAAAACTTTCTAACAGGATATTGAAATTATAAATCCTTTAATGTTTCAGTATTTTTTCATGTTATTCCCCCCAGCACTGCGTTTTAGTAGGCCAAATTTACCGTCTGTTGTGAAGCTACAGAAGTTCTGTAAATTTCACTAGATTATGTATTATTCTGTATTATTTCACTCTCAGATATGGCTACAGAGAAATAACTGTGCCATTACACTTCCCCTTCACCTTTCCCCATCTACTGGGGAAGAATCTGAGACTCCACTCACAGCAATTAAGCATTTGGGAAACAAGGAGAAGATAAGAGAGCATACTGACATTCCTAGAATGTGGTGGTTCTCCTCTCTGACAGTCTAGACATGAAAAGATCCCTGCAGGGGCACATGCTAAAATTGAACTATCCCAGCTAATAACTTATTAGGGTTGGAGCCATCAGGAAGGAAGAGAAAGTTCCGTCAACTGATTTTTCCACTGGGTCTCCACTCAAACAGTGGTAATGCAGGAGAACAACAGACTCCTTTCCACTGAAACACACAATACACCAATGAAAATGTGTATTTGGAAACAATGAACGCAACAACCATGGCCCAGGGAGGATACCAAACACCTGACTGCATTTGGAACGGACTTTGACAGAATTCTTTATTAACAATGCCATTTATAAGACAAATCTTATAACCAAGTATGGACAATTTTGAGACAAGTTTTCTGCAGAGGGTAAACGTTCAATTTGCATATGGACAAGATGTTCAGCTAGAATAAAGAATCTGTAGTTGTGGCTGTGAACACTCCTCTTGCCCAAAAAAGGGCAAGTCTTCAAAACATTTAGTTAAAAAAAACACTAAGATGAAGCCACAAGTTTTTGATCTAAAGAAGCAGAAAGGGTGAACAGTTGTAAGAATCACACTATAGGTTAGGGTAAAAAGGTAGAGAGAGATGACCAAGAAGGTGAAAGTAAGTAAAAAAAAGAATGCCTACAATTTCAAATTCCATAGTAAAGATTGGGAAGAAACTTTCAATGACACAAACAGCAGTTAATATCAATGGAAGTTAGGTGCCTAACTACCCTTTGTCCCGTTGAAAAATTTCCCGATCCAAAGTTTACAAACCAACACCATGAATTGGGTCGGAAACTCCCTGTTTGCTATGGGGTCTGTGTGTTTCAGAGTAACATGTATTACACTTTAATTTCTTATATTAAATATTCTGACCTTTTCTTTGCATATATAAAGACAAACTCCCAGCTTTCAGAGCCTCCCATATGGCAAAGCCTGACATAGCAGAATACTGGCTAAAACTAAGATATTTTAATTTATTAATTTTTTTAATAAGGTACTTAAATATATTGGAGTTCAAATGCTGTCTTTGTGGTTTCCAGTTACTCAAAATATTCAGTGAAAAGTTAAATAGTCTGACAGATTAATTTCAACAGTTTTAGCTAATCCCTTAACAATATTAGAAAGCAAAACACTACTGTGAAGATCCCACGTTTAGTTTAGTAATACTGAAAGTCAACTCATATATAAGAACTATTTCAGCAATCAGGATTTCACTTAGTGTTTTACAGCCGGTGGCGGTTATTACAAGAAGGAACTCTTGGAATGTGAAAGAAATTCATACCTACAGGGATTTAATTTATGCAGACTGAATAAGCATCGTACTACTTAAGTACTAAAAACGTTAGAAAAACTTTTGCAGCTCCTACCATCCAAGAGGATGCTACATTTATTTCTGAAAATGTTTCAGATCTCTTGGGAACATTCACATGGTTTGACGAATGCAAAGTGCTTTCTCACTCAGGTTGTGCAAAAATTTCATTCTATATAAGCTGGCTCACAGTGTTAGCTGTCGATTATGATAACCAATAATTATTGAGAAATGAATTCTAAAAAAAATAGTATTTGAAAAGAAAATAACACTGAGAAGCCGGACAACTACCATCAACCACAGTAGACTAAACAATCCACTGGCAAAAGGAACCAATTTAGTTAACTTGCCAACTGTAGAACTTTTTTGCAAGCATTTAGAGTTGGATCCGAAAGAGATCAAACCATTAATGAGAAGATTCTACTTGTACATGCAATGCTTGTTTTATGTTTTGAAATAGGCAGCTGTGAGGCTTATAACACAGAATAGATATTTCCATTGCTGGTCCCTGGAGCAGTGGACTGTTAACTATAGGAAAAACCTCTGTTAACTGCCCTGGATTACTTATGCTTGTCTGTTGTTCCATATTCAACTAAAGAATGTTGAGATGTATATCCCTCTGTAAGTGTTCGCAACACGAGAGGAATGAAAGAATCAGAAGCACAGCATTTAGCGACAAGCAGCATTTGATAAACTCCAGAACGCTTATGTAAGAATCTGAATACCATATGACTATTCCAAAATACTATATTTATCTTTATGTTGAAATAAAATATTCAGTGTTCGTAGCTTTAAATAACCTGTTCAATATTTGCCTCACAACTGCACAAGCCAGGAGAAGTAAGCCAAGAAATCTGCTACTGAGGGCATGTCTACACTAGAAACATACATCAACCTATGTTAGGTCGACTTACAACCATCACAGTAATTACTGCGGTGGTTAATGCCCACACTATCCTCCTTTTGTTGGTGGTGTGTCCCCTCGTCAGGAGCGCTTTCACCGATTTAAGAGGGGCAGTGTGGGAGGCTAAGAATCTGGGCTCTCAGCTCCAGATGTAGCTCCCCACCATCAGGAGCCCGGCCACTCTCCCGCCCTCCCCACACTGGGCACATGGCTCCCTGGCACCTGGAGCCTGGCTGCCCGGGAGGCTCGAGGACTTCAGGCACGGAGCTCCCTGCTGGGACCCTGGCTGCGGCAAGGAGCAGGGAACCAAGAGCCTGGGAGTGCAGCCAGGCTCCGGGCAGCGGGGAGCCTCCGTGCAGTACCTGCAGGGAGCCAGGCAGGCACAGCCCAACTCTGAGTGAGGAGCCTGGGCAGCAGCTGGGCTGGGAGTGGGGAGCCATGGGGGAGCTGAACTCCGAGCAGGGCAGGCACAGCACAACTGGGAAGGGGGAGCCCAGGAGGCAGCCGTCTCAAGCTGGAGTCCCACCACCCACCCTGTGTCAGCCTGGCTTTTTTGTCAATTTCACGGCTCCAGCAAGGAGCCATGAAATTGACAAGAATGACAGCCAACAGCAGATATAAGTAACACTGCCTATATGCAAAAAGAAAAGGACTACTCCTTTTCTTTTTGCGAATACAGACTAACACGGCTGCTACTCTGAAAACTGTCTGTATGGACACTGCATTACCTTAGTTACACCAAAATAAGTCCTATTCCTTTCTCAGAAATGGAGTTATGCTGGTGTAGTAGGGCACTTACATCAGCGGGAGCAAGGCTGTAGTGCTTACACTGACATACCTGTAATTAGATATAAGCTGCCTTACCTCAACCTAACTCTGTAGTGTAGACCAAGCCTGAGTAACACAATCAGGTTTCAACCAGTCTGCAGAAAACACTTAACTCTTTACAATACACATTTGTATAAATGTTTTTGTTGTTAATCAAAAAAAAAAAAAGTTATTTTGCTGAGACTTTTGGCTTTTCCCCCCCTTGACTAATACTGGAATATTGACATTTTGAACTATGCTTTAGTCATTAGTAAAGGATTATGATCTCATTACAGGGTTAAACAGAAAATGAAGTTAACTGTGAGAAAGCGCTAGTTGAAACACAAAACTTAAGTACTAGCCAAGGGAGCATACTGCAGGAAAAGAATGTGTATCTAAGTTGCTTTTGTTTAAATGTTCTATTACTTAAAAATTTTATAAGTCTCCTGTCAGCAGAAATGCACATAAGATCTTACATTTTCAGAAGTGTTTAGTAATTCTGGGTACTCAAATTCAGACACCCTAAAAGGACCTGCTTTTAAGAGGGTGGGCACTTTAGACATTGTAAAAATCAGATCCCTTTAGGGTGTCCTAATTTGGACACACCAAAGTAACTCTCACATGAAAAATTAGGCCAAGAAAAGTAGATTTGAAACTCTCTGAACAGCAGTTGTTTGACAACTATAATTAAATAGCTCCCCCATGTACTCTCATTCTCAAAAGTTCTAACGTCACTACATAAATGGTTGTCTCAACTCAACATGAATTTGCTGATAAACCCATTAGTACACATACATATTTTGAAGGAGCGGGGAAGCAGTGTTGCCAACATTCATGATATTTGGTATTTTTCTTACAGCTCCTGCTCCTGAAGTCCAGTCATTACATGAGAATATCAGCTTTTAGTTAAAATAAAAAGTTTCTAGCCCTCAGGGTTTCAGAGACCAGCCTGAAAACATGATCCGAGTGCATTCTAGAGGCTCAAAAACCAGAAGACAAACAAGAACCATCCAAAATTTATTATGGCTTAAAAATAGTAATATGATTTTGGAGGGTCTGACTCATGATTTTTGAACACTTGTTTTTGGCAATACTAGGTATGGGACATGAGATCAGCAGGAGAGTTTTAAATATTTACTCACTTTTGGTTAATGTTTGTAGATCTTCAACGCCGGGTGGTCCACTTTTCTTCTCATAAGGAATGACTGTTGTTAAGTACTGTCGAGTGAAAAACATGATTATTCAGCAATTACTTTGCTTATAATTTACCCTGCTTGAACTAAAAAAATCTTATTTATTTTGTAGAATTACAAGATGTTATTTAATAAGATCAGATATTTTGCAAGAAACAAGTTTCTATTTCAACTGTCCTAAATCTACCTCTGTCACAAATGTCAGTTTTGAATTTTGCCATAAATTACATAAAAAACACAAACATGAAGGTGTATTAAACATTTAAGAAAATAACTGTGTATCATTTAAAGTTCCTTACTCTAACAAGTTCCTTGTATCTCATGCCATGGATCCTACTGAGAGTCCCTTCCTGGCCACCCACTAACACTACGGTGAGGGGAATTCAGGCCTCAGTGCCCCAGATCCCAAGGGTGCTTTAAGTTCCTGTAGTCTGAACTAAGTCTAGCCACTGTCCCAATCTCAGGGTTCCTATGCACATGCTCAGAGTGCAGACCTTCTATCTGTCACTGCCCTCCGAGTGTCAGAACCCACTGTCCAGCTACCTAGCCCCTCTGGACACTTCAGACTGCCCAGTATTTAAACATACCCCCTCAGCCAGAACTCAACTCCAAAGGTGTGAAACTTCTGGTTTACAGTTTAAGTCCCTCAGGGGCACACAATAGTTTGAAGCAGTCAACACAAACACTTTGTTCAATCTACTGACTTTATGCTCTTTATGTTTAATCACGTAAAGCACAAGGCAGTACAGATAACACAAAACAATAATACTTCCTTGTGAAAACCAGGGTCCAGACACCCCAAGGGGAGAACAGAAGGTTTAAATTAGGGCTGTCGATTAATCACAGTTAACTCACGGGATTAAATCAAAAAAATTAATCACGATTAATTGCATGGTTAAACAATAATTAAATTAAACAAGAATTGAAATTTATTAAATATTTTTGGATGTTTTTCTACATTTTCAAATATATTGATTTCAATTACAACACAGAATACAAAAAGTGTACATTGATTCCTTTGTATATTTTTTATTACAAATATTTGCACTGTAAAAATGATAAAAGAAATTGTATTTTTCAATTCTACTCATACAAGTATTGTAGTGCAATCTCTTTATCATGAAAGAGCAACTTACAAACATAGATTTTTTTTGTTACATAGCTGCACTCAGAAACAAAACAATGCAAAAAGCTTTAGAGCCTACCAGTCCACTCAGTCCTACTTCTCGTTCAGCCAATCGCTAAGACAAACAACTTTGTTTTCATTTACAGGAGATAATGCTGCCCACTTCTTGTTTACAATGTCACCAAAAAATGAGACTAGGCATTCACATGGGACTTTTGTAGCCAGCACTGCAAGGTATTTACATGCCAGATACGCGAACATTTGTATGCCCCTTCATGCTTTGGCCACCATTCCAGAGGACGTGCTTCCATGCTGATGATGCTTGTTAAAAAAATGTGTTAATTAAATGTGTGACTGAACTCCTTGAGGGAGAACTGTATGTCTCCAGCTCTTTTTTACTCACATTCTATCATATGTTTCATGTTCTAGTAGTCCCGGATGACGACTCAGCACATGCTGTTCATTTTAAGAATAATTTCACTGCAGATGTCACAAAACACAAAGAAGGTACCAATGTGAGATTTCTAAAGATAGCTACAGCTCTCGAACAAAGGTTTAAGAACCTGAAGTGCCTTCCAAATCTGAGAGGAATGAGGTGTGGAGCATGCTTTTAGAAGTCTTAAAAGATCAACATTCCGATGCGGAAACTACAGAATCCGAACCACCAAAAATGAAAATCAACCTTCTGCTGGTGGCACCTGACTCAGATGATGAAAATGAACATTGTCGGTCCGCACTGCTTTGGATTGTTATCGAGCAGAACCCATCATCAGCACGGACACATATCCTCTGGAACGGTGTTCTCACTTTCAGGTGACATTGTGAAGAAGAAGTGGGCAGCATTATTTCCTGCAAATTTAAACAAACTTGTTCGTCTGAGCGATTGGCTGAACAAGAAATAGGACTGAGTGGACTTGTAGACTCTAAAGTTTTACATTGTTTTATTTTTGAATGCAGCTAGTTTTGTACATCATTCTACATTTGTAAGTTCAACTTTCATGATAAAAAGATTGCACAACAGTACTTGTATTAGGTGAATTGAAAAATACTATTTCTTTTGTTTTTCACAGTACAAATATTTGTAATCAAAAATAAATATAAAGTGAGTACTGTACACTTTGTATTCTGTGTTAAAATTGAAATCAATATATTTGAAAATGTAGAAAACATCCACAAATATTTAAATAAATGGTATTTTATTATTGTTTAACAGTGTGATTAATCAAGTGATTAAAAGAATATCCTTTCTTCTTGGGACTGCAAGGGAGGGTTTGGACTGGTAGCATTGGTCCAGGACAGTAAGTCACAGATACTTCTTTACAGACTGCAGGATAGGCACATGTAGGTAGGTATACAACCTTGAGATCCAGGGAGCATAGGAATTTGCTTGTCTTCACATCTTGAATAAAATATTTTAGAGACTCTCATCCTACAAACATGAGATACCGAGGAAGGATAGACACATTTCAAGTCTCCTTGTTTTTTGGACAGTGAAATAGATCCCAATGTCCTTCTGATCTTTCAGGACCAGGGGAATGGGCTGTATTTTTAGGAAACTGTTTAGGATACCTCAGTTGCCTTTTTGCTGGGCCAATGTGGCACTGTGTAGTAGAACGGAGTTGTTGTAGTAGAATAGATCTCATACTGAATTGACTGCATATCCATATAGTATTGTCCAGGACCCCTTTGATGTTATTTAGGCCCAGATATGGAAACAGTTCCTCAACTTTCCCCCAATGTTGGGACTTTATGTCCAGACTCTAGAAACTTCAGGCTGACTGGTTAAAATGTGAAGGAACTCCTCTGATAATTGTTACTTCCTCCTTTGTCAATGAAAGGCTGTACATTGTTAAGGCCAACTGCTTCTCTAAATGGTTATGCCTCCTTTTTACTGGATTATAGTTTCTAGTCTCCCAGCATCCACTCCTGTTTGAACATGAATTCAAGGTTCAGCTTGGCATCTCCTGGGATAGGACTTTGCTCTTTGAAGCAGCCAAGGACTGTTGACTTTCTCCAAGTCTTACTGAAAGGAAACTGGCCTTTAAAAGGCATGTCTGTTAGCCTGGCTCTGGAAGAAAGAAAACAAATACTAGCCACTGTTTTAGCTACAGGGCCTCTCTCCTGGAGCCAAGGCAGTCTCAGTGAAGTAGCAGACTCATGTCACATGTGAACGCACATTGAAGACAGTGATGACCAGAAATGGGAGAGTCTTGGTCACTTCACAGTTTTTATCTTTGGCCTTTGGAGATCTAAGCTTCTGTGACCAGTTCACTGTCCCTGGGAAACATATGCTCCATAAATTGAAGATTGTAGGGACAGGCTTAAGGTCACAAAGATTCTATTCAAAGAGGTACCTCATTTTTTCTGTCAAGGAAATTCTTGAGAGCCGCGCCTCATTCCATAGTCTATGCTGCCCTTTTCACTAACCCCGACAAGGCAGCATCCATTCTTGGGTTCTCAGAAATTACTTGTTTCAATCATTGAACGATCAAAAGGAGAAGCCATATCCAAATGGATTTCATCAAGCTGTGTTATCACCAACATAACCTGCAACCCCCTACGGGGATTTGCACACATTCCACCAGAGCAATATCGACTCGAACAGCATTTTTGAACAAAGTTCCCATTACAGACATCTGAAGAGCAGCAACCTGGGCTTCTGCCCATACATTTACACATTATGCAGTAGAACAGTATGCAACTTCGGATGCACTACTTGGGACTCATTGTATTATCATCTGCCATGACTTCAACTTTGAAGCCCCTTCCTTCCATAGGAGGGCACTGCTCTGAAGTCATCTAAAGTGGAGCACACATATGGACATCACTCGAAGAAGAGGAGAGGGTTACTCACCGTGTGTAGTAATTGTGGTTCATAGAGACGCGCCCTCTATGGGTGCTCCACTACCCTCCCTTCTCCCCTCTACTTCGGAGTTTCACAAACTAAATGTTCTGCAGTACAAAAGGAACGGGGAAGGGGAGTCGGAAGAGGTGAGTGTTGGTCGGGACTATGTTCTCTATCTGCTGGAGACAGAAACAACTGAAGGCTGAAAGGTGGCCTACCCTTATATAGGAGGGTATGACAATCAAAAGTCTTATGGTATGTTTACACTGCAATCACGGGTTGTGATTGTAGCTCACATAAACATACCTGAGCTAGCTAGATCAAAAGTAGCTCAGGACCTGGAGCAATGAAGCCACAGGTTGGGAAGAACTACAGTCCACGTGCCTGGACAGATGCAGATGATCAAAGAGAGATTAGGAGTTTACACATTTAATTCCATCTCCTGCATGTAATTTTATACAGTCTAACTGGTCTTTTCCATCTCTATTTTCTATGATTCAACTATTACCTCCAAAACAGATCTACAGGCTTTTATCAGCTCAAGTTTGAAGAGGTATCTACTTAAGCCTTAACTAATTTGTGAAGAAGAGTCTGTGCTATGAGAATAAAAGTTCTGGAACAATAAAAGTAATACTGATGGATTAATGTGCTATCAAGAATAAAATTTTCCGTATTAGAAACCTAAGCTTAGAGACATCTAGTGGTTCAATAAAAGGACTCATCAGCTCAGTAAAAAATCACAGTTGTTCCAAAGACCGTAGATTTTCATATATAAGATCCTCATAAATCAGGTAACCAGGAGTGAAGAAGAAATTGGTCTAACTCCATGAGGATAAAAATTTATGATTTTAAAAAATGGATTTTAAATTTAAATAAATTTTTATGTTTAAAAATAAAAATTTAAAATTAATTTTGAAATTATGACAACTGATATTCTGACCTACACTTAACTATTATTATTCTTTTAATGTGTGTTCATTCCAAAGTTTTAAAGAAAGTCAAACCACTTAATTGAAGGAAGTCAATGGCAAAGCACCTGGAACCAGAGTTTTGACAGCGGTAACCTCTTCTGTAGGGGCAGAGAGAATATTTCCTTAATTTCAGTTTTTTCAAGAAGGGCAGTTCATTAATTTATTCAAAGCTGAGAAACTGAACGAGAGTGGAAAAAAGCAGGAAAACGTGTTTTTCTCTTCCATTCTATGAATAAGAATGAGGTGAGAGAGGTAGATATCTACTAGTTCTAAAATCACGGTGACCAGAAACAATCAGTTCAATTCACTAACCAAAGATAATACTTACTTTGTTTAATAAGTCAGTCAGTTTCAAATGCAAAACATGTTTTAATAAAACTTTTTTCTTAGGTATCGACCTTATTTAAAGTAATTCTAACAGTTTTAAAATCCTGTTTTTGTGCATTTTTTAATGAATTCCAATTTCCATTCAAATGCAGATCAACACAAGTCACGAGTTCAAAAAAACCAAAAAACCAACCAACTTGTAAATAGTAAATGCATCACTACATTGTCTAACATAAAAATATGAAATTAAGAATTTAAATAAATGTATGTTAAGCTATATAACTGCTTCAGTGTATAAAGTGAATCCACCTGGTTCGCAAAAAGTACCAAATTTAGTGTAAAGGCTATATTTAGTTGCAAATCAACATGTTTTAATGGTTACCAACCAATGAAAATGTATCTTTGAGGAAAATAACTAAAAAGTACTAATGCAGCACAAGATTAGATTATTTAAATCAAGGTTTCCTGTATGCCTCTTTAAATCAAGATTAAAATCACTGATTTAAATCAATCCACCCTGACCTAAATTCTATTAACAAAAAACAAACAGTATCCACAAAAACTAAGCAAATATGTCTGTAAACCAGATTCAGAAGTGTGGAAATTGATCAGTTAAGTGCATGCAGACAAGAGAAGGAAGGATCAACAGGTGCCTTGTGCATATTAATCAAGAAGCATTTTCCTAAATTCCTTCAGAGTGACAAGGAGAAAGTGAGACATCAAAACATTCTCCATCATCAAGAGCCAACCTGTTGGGGACAAAGATTCCAGATTGAGAAAGATGCTCTAGTTCCAGGTGATCAAAGGAGGCAAGAACCTCAGTCTAACAGGACTGGCTACTGCCACCCCCAGCTTGGAGCATGCTGTCTCACCCAAAAAGGAAGCTCTGAAAAATATCCTTGAAACTTTGGTGACTCCTGTACTTGGTTAGAACCATTACTACTTTACAAAGTGGAATAAAAGGACCATGCGAGTTCTTCATCAAAGGAGAGAGAATTTGTGCATTGCTTCTGTGATCTGCACACTACCATTTTGCAAAAAAACTGGCAATTGTGTGTGGCAAACAGACTTCTCTTAGATTTACTTTGTAAGTCCAGACCCAAGAATCACTTGTGAGGGACTATTTTCAGTTTGCTGAACTTGTGCCATTTTCATCTCCTTTTCTCCCAGGTAAAGGCAGCTAAGCATATCTTATGGGGCATTGCCCAGGTCCTCATCATTTAGACCCTGACAGAGATAACCTGACCCACTCCTCCTACATAAATGATCACAGACTGATTTCTGATGTATTTTGGGACATTTAGTCAACAATGCTTCAGACACAAACAGGGTTACCCTCGTCTTCAGGACACTAATATAGTTTAGATTTCTAGGGAGGCAATGACCTGAGTGTCGAACCTTCTTCTTTACACTCTACCCTTCACACAGTGGATTCGTATACAGCTAATACAATATGCATTGAAGAAATATGGACGTCTCTTTTAATTATAAATTGTTCTTGCAATGCCACTATGTCAGAGTATCTCAGGGTGTTTATTACTCAGATGTGGCGAGAGACTGAGATTTATCAACTGGATATCAGGCTGAACCCAGGTTGCCTCGCTTGGTGGTATCTCACAAATACCACACCACAGTCCAATGGCCATCTTCTGGCTCTACCTGCAGTACAGTGAGGCTTTGGTAAATGATCCTGTCAAGTCCTTGCAAAGAGAATGAAGGCTTTCATGTCTTACAGGGCTCCTACTCTCTCTTGAAGACAAGCAATGATATATAGTTTTAGCAATTTACTTTAAGCTTTTGAGACTTAAGCATCCTATTTGTGGCATGGATCAATACTTTGCTCTTTCAAGATGTTGCTCTTGACTAAGTTGCCAATACAAAGAAATACATGCACTCACATTCTGTATGGATATGCTGCTATAGCCACTAGGGATCTTAGGTTGTGTGGGGGTAGATTCCAAACTCTTTTTCTGCTGCTGTTTTTTAAGTAAACTACAGGAAGCACCAAGGAACAGCTTGCTGTCTCTATGCCAAGTTCTATGGGACTGAAGCCTGGTTTCTCCAAAGTCCAGGATTCCATGACATCACAGTTTAGTTAGGTATCCCTCTCCTTTGAATGGAGAATGGGAAGGAAATTCCATAAAAATCAACCTTCCACATAGCCATTGGACTTTTCCCCTTCACACAGGAGGATAGAATGGGCCCTAAATTAGTTGATCTTGAGAAATAATCTAGAGAAGTAAACCCTCTGTGATGCTGTATGGAATCTGGGGGACACTTAGAATCATAGAATATCAGGGTTGGAAGGGACCTCAGGAGATCATCTAGTCCAATCCCCTGCTCAAAGCAGGACTAATCCCCAACTAAATCATCCCAGCCAGGGCTTGAGGATATTATGAATATCAATATTGTAAAACTGTAATGAGTTATGCCAGATAGGCCATGTAAGGTATCTGCAAAAATGTTATAATTTGCCAGATATGATAATCTCATTTATGTGTTTGTATCATCTTTGTATTATCAGTTATAGATATGTATGACTATCTGTATTTCAAACTTGGGCTATGCTTCTGGGGGACACTCCCAGATAGTTTGGGTATCAGCTCTGCCTAGTCTGCTTGATGGCCCATTAAGACCATCAGCTATACAATGGACCCACTGAGAGAAGGCAAATACACCTTATGACTCAGCAAGGCATGCAGGGGCATGCCTATGGACAGAACTCTAAAGGCTTTCAGGACGTGTGCTGGGCAGCTTGTGTTTGAAACAAAGGAAGCACAGGCCTCATGGCAAAGAGACTATAAAAGGCAGCTGCATCTTCTCCATTTTGTCTTCAATCCTCCTTCTTACCTCTGGAGGAACTTTGTTACAAACTGAAGCTCTGAATAAAGGACTGAATGACCCATCCAAGCTGTGGATGTATTCCAGAGGCACTTTCAAGGCAGCAAACTCACTAATACTGCAAGGATCCTGATATATGGACTTTGAAGTCCTTGTATGTATGTGACTATTTTACCACTTAACATCTCTCTTCTTGTTCTCTCTTTTTTCTTTATAACAAACCTTTATTTTTAGATACTAAAGGATTGGCTGGCAGTGTAGTATTTTGGGTAAGATATAAACCTATACTGACCTGGTAACATGGCTGACCCTTTGGGGTCAGAAGAACATTTTGTATATGTGAGTGGAGTTTTAAAATAACTTCTCACTATACTGGACCTAGGTGCTGATTGGGAGCCAGAGACTGGAATGAAATAAAGGGAGCTGAGGGATATTTTTTTTTTGCTTCTTGATAACCAGTGTGGGGGATCAGAAACAGAGTTTGTGACTGGTTGGTGAGTTTAACTTCAGTGTTACCCACCAGTCTTGGGAGGATTTGCTCTCCCTTTTGCAGCCTGCCCAGAACTTGGCATTTCCAGTGAGGGCTGCCCCAAGTACCACCGGGGTCACACCCTCAACTTGACTACATTTTAAGAATCTTGCTGTTTATCAATATCATAAGTACTATACGAAAGATATATTACACAAACAATTTTTGTACCATTACAGTTCAGAATCTAAATTAAAATATGGTAATTAAATACTACTTTGAAATAAAGGATAAAAGTTCTATATTTAACAATGACATGAAATATTAACCATTATCCTAAATAGTGGTATTCTATGCCATGTATTTTCTTTATTAATATTTAAATCAATAAAAACAAAAACTTACCTTTGGATATATTATTATATCCAGAATATTTGTATTCCATACAACTGGCTGCTTTTAACATAATGCAACTGTCAAAGGTGTAAAGATATAAATGCAATTTTGTAGAGGCAATTCTGTTATTCAGAAGAATGAGCTCTGAACAGTGGGGTTTGCTTCTTCTTTATTCTCCTTACTATCTATTACCTACCTCCTTAAGGCTTAAGACTGGAGTGAAGTTTCTAATTTAATGCATCTTTCTAAAGTGGGTTTTATAGACATGCAAAACATTTCAAGCATGCATTATGCTAATATTTATTTTTATTTTCAGATGTGACATAAAGCCTTGGAGGAGGCTGTAATTTCAGTGCATTATTTCATACACATCAAGACTTGAGTGGTCTTTAACCATTGAGGAGAGAAAAAGACACTATAGGCCTACTGCCACCCTGAAAGCAGGAGAGGATGTGGTGAGCATACAGCAGTTATTTTTTCAATCTGAGCACTAAATATGCTTTAGTTGCCATCTTTCAAGACCTCGATTTCTACAGTAGCACCAAGCAAAGAATGAGGAAAAGTGAGAGGATAACCCAGCACCTGTTTCTCTCCACCCGAGTTTCCAAACGTGTGGCGGAAGCCATTCTGAATGACATTTGAGATCCCTTCCATGCTGAAGCGCTAAAGATAGCAAAAACATGGCAGAAAAAGAAGGGGACAGAGAAAGAAGTTCAAAGACTATTAGTGAGCATTTACCCAGACAATAAGTAAGATGAATGCCAGAGACAAGCTGTTAGAATGTGTTACAATATATTTTAACATCTTTGTTTGCTGTTCATATGCAGAAGAAAGCTTTGACAGAGGGGTTTATGATTAATAAATATGAACCACCATAAACATTTTAAAAATAACCGGATTGTGCAGAAAATTTTCTGCACAGAGTCGGAGGCAAAAATCTTTATATGGCAGACCACTTGTTTATACGTAAGTACACCTTACCACTTCGTTCTTTATTTAAAAAATGTTTAAATCTAGACTAAGATTTTAAAATATATTAAGAGTATCTGAAATATTGTAAATAGGCTGATAAAGATCTTCAAAATTTACTTCAGAGACAGCCCCTCTTATAAAGTTATTATTCAAACACTATCATATTTAAAGGTACACTGCTGACATTTAATATTTTTACGAAGTCCAATGGAGTATGTACTACCAATTAAAAATATTTTATAAAAATTACTCTTTTACATTATCCTACAAAGAATTTTATGCTTTTGTATTTCCTCTGCTACAATAACAGCAACAATTAACCACAGTAATAATTAACTGTATTCCCATAATTATGCTGATATCAAAAATGCACAAAGTTAGTTAACTAAGCAGCTACATTAATTTCAAGGTCCATTAGAAACAAGTGGAAGCTAAGTAAAAATAATCAAAATGTATCCTACCAAATCTGTCCTTTCGTTATTTTCATTCCACTCTTGTTCACTCAAGGAAAGAAGTTTAACAGATCCACACTTCTGAGAGTCAGTCTCACACATGAAATTCAGAAGCTGACTAACAAACTAAAAAGTAACCAACCCCAGGATAATCGTAGAGAGCTGTGATTTTATATAAATATGCATATATGTTACACATGCACATTTCCCTGCATTTAATTTTTTTAAAGGAAGAATTAAATGCGATGTTAATGCAATGTTAAGTTTGTAAATTTAACACACAACATTAAGGAAATGAAAAAGTGAAGGCTCTCAAAGGCACCTTAATGCGCTTTCTTGGAATATACTAAAATATTTTTGTGACTCTAGGCACCCCTGTATCTACACCACACAGACTACTACAATAATATTTGTACAAAATACATCTTGTGAGGTATCACATGAAAGTTAATAACAAGCTGGTTATTAATATAATTTTGAAATCCATGTTAATCTCATATGTGAAGTTATGAATCCCTTTGTCTGATGTTTCTAAAACATGTTTAAGACAAGACAGCTTAGCCTAGGTGAAGGTGATAAACATGTCTGTCATAGACAAAGAAATGTGGGTTTACCTCAGTATACATACTGGCAGTAAATAAAGCCATCAAGCCAATCTGGTGGGGGTTATTCTGATCCTGAACTTGAGAGGCATTCAATTAATATGGCTCCTTCGCCCCAGAAAAACACAGGAAACTGAATCCCCAGAAGGGCTTCCTGACTTGCGCGACAAAGACATTCCTTTGGAGATATAAGGAACAGAGACAGACTCCATCTTTATCCTTCACCTTAGGAGACAAAGGAACTAAGCCATATGATCTCCGTGATGGGTCCTGGCCAGCCCAGCCAGTAAAAGCTGAAAAGGAGACTGTGGGTGAGAGAAACCATCTTGAACAAAGACTGCATCATGCTACATTAAGTATTAGTCTTTTAGATGTGTGGTTTCACTTTTATTTTCTTGTAACCATTTCTACCTTTGTCCCTTTTAACTGGTATCCCTTAATCCATTGCTCATTTGTAATAAACTTGTTTTCTTTCATTATAAATCATCAATGTTGTGTAGTTCACTAAAGTGTGTGCTTCTAGAAAGGTAACAGGTTGGAGTGTTTTACTGCCTCTGTAAAGGCAATGAACCTACTGGGAGGGTCAAGTGAAATAGACTGATCTCTGCAGTAGGATGATTTTGGGGCAAATATAGGACTAAAAGGGTACTAAGGTCAGCTTGCAAGGAGCAGTCAGGTTGGGCAAAGCTAAGGTGAGGCTTGTGGGCTGCTGGGATCAGAGGCCTAACCTAGATCAAAGCTACAGAGCCACAATGAACCCAGGATTACATGGCAGATGGTGACTGAGCCCGTGTGAACCCCAGAACATCACAATTTTACATCTTCAAAGTCCTGAACTAACATTAAACTAATCCTCACAGTATTTTTGTTAAGTAGGTTAAAAAACTCTTTATCTTCATTTTACAGTTCAAGAAAACAAAGAGCAAAGCGATTTGCCCAAAAAGTCTATCCATAAGTAAAGGGCAGAATGGGAATTAGAATATTTGATTATTACTTATCTTGTTAAATATTTGGTTTCAAACACATCTGCAATGGAATTATTCTTGCTACAGTAAAAGAGACTTAATATTCCAGTTTTTGTCTTTCCATATAAAATACCATTGCACTACTGAAGGCTTTTGCTTTTTAACAATACTAGACACTTCTTTGCTTTCCACACGAAATTGCTTGAACTTGCAATTTGAAAACACACTTTTGAAAACTGACCTATTTGTTTAGCTGTCTATAAAAAAAGTTAGGTGACTAGCTTTATGTAACCATTTAAACCTAGGCCTAGGTTCCTTGACTTATGTAACAATCTATATTTAAATATCTGAACCATAGTAGGTTTTTCAAAGGTGCTTAGCTCCTGCAGTCTTCACTACCATCAGTGGAATCTGGGGTTGCTCAACATCTCTGAAAAAGAAGGCCAATTTTATGTAGATGTCTAAATATGTATTTAGGAGCCTAACTTTAAGCAACCTGGTCTGAAAATGTCCTATATCAGGGGTTGCATACCTACATGTGGAAGTGTCAAGTCCATTTATTTGAAACTCCAAAATTGAATCGTTTCAGAATGGGTCTGAATCACTTTCCTCAAATAGAGCCACTCTCATTATTTTTCTCTTCCTACGTTAATTTAAAATATCACCTTTTGCTATCCCATGATAAAAAACCAATAAGGAGTGCATTTTATGTAAGTTTTTAACTGAATTTCCAATATCACACTCAGTAAAAACAAGCTAAACCTAGTTTATACAAGGAATTTAATCCTTACACATTCTGTTTCTTTTTGAGATTAGAGTTTTCCTAAATTTACTGGTGTCTAAAGAGAGTGACTTTTAATTATGTTTGGTATAGTCTTTCAAATTTTAGTCATTTACATACAATTCTCTTAATACCCTTTCTTAAAAACAATGATAATGTTCACCCCCTGATCTGTCTTGCTTATGTCACAAAGACAAGCAATTCTTTCCCTTTAGCTTCAGCTATTCACCTCTAATGGTTTGTCTACACAATTTTTGTATTGATTTAACTATACCTGTTTAGCTACTGATATAGTTAAAATCTGTGCAACTCTTAAAGTGGATATAGCTATGCTGATAAGAGTATTTATATTAACTTATTTTGGTAAATCTGCAGACATTCAGATTCTAGACCAGGGGTGGGCAAACTTTTTGGCCCGAGGGCCACATCTGGGTATAGAAATTGTATGGCAGGCCATGAATGCTAACAAAATTGGGGTTGGGGTGCAGGAGGGGGCTCCGGGCTGGGGGAAGTGAGGGCTCTGGCTGGCGGGCTTTGGGGTGGGGCTGGGAATGAGGAGTTTGGGGTGCAGGAGGGTTTGAAGGGTGGGAGGGGGATCAGGGCTGGGCCAGGGGGTTAGGAAGTTGAGGGGTATGTGTCTCTCAGGGATGCAGGCTCCGGGGGGGCCGCTTACCTCAAGTGGCTCCCGGAAGTAGTGGTATGTCCACCGTCTGGCTCCTACATGGAGGCGCAGCCAAGCAGCTCTGTTGTGCACTGCCCTGTCTGCAGGCGCCGGCCAATGGGAGCTGCGGCGGCGGCCTTTGGGGCGGGGGGCAGCATGCAGAGCGGGGCCTCTTGGCTGCCCCTATGCATAGGAGCCGGAGGCGGGACATGCCGCTGCTTCTGGGAGCTGCGCAGAGCAGCCTCCAACCCTATTCCCTGGCTGGAGCGCCAGAGCAGAGCAAGCCCTAGACCCTGCTCCCCAGCGGGAGCTCAAGGGCCAGATTAAAATGGCTGGCGATCCAGATTTGGCCTGTGGGCCTTAGTTTGCCCACCCCTGTTCTAGACAGTCCAAGGTTTCATTAAAAAAGAAGTTCTATCCTTTATGCTTGGAAGACAGTCTTCTCAATTCAAACATAAGTAACTCTTTCTAGAACTGAAACAAGAACTTCAAGAAAGATGTGACCTGCTCCGCATTCATCTCACATGTTAGCTGAATCCTAACTAAGACACTTACAAGGTCTAAAAATGTAGACAAGCTACTGAGCGTGTGAGATGCACATACAATCCCATGCTTGTCAGTACAACAAAGCTTAAGAACTACCACTTTTCAATATTTTTAAATTAAGCTGTTTCAGCGTTAAAGAATATCTTGTCTAGACAAATAAAATAATTGTTTGAAGAAAAGAGACACCATGTACTAATATCACACATAACAATTTATATCACTTGAAAGCAACAGGAGACATGTGACCGAATAACCCAGCTCCATATCCCCTGGGAAGAAAGAGATCTGAGAATTAGAGGCCAAGATAGTGCACGGTGCACTCACAGGTCACACGATTGATTCTTGGGAGGTATCCAAATAATTTCATTTGCGGTTCAGCTGCTGAATCTCATTCCCGAGGATAAAACCCAGAAGAGTGGATCTAGATATCTAACTTCCTTCAAGGAAGGCTACAAAATATATACTCACTTATGCTGGTTGCCTCTGAAATAGTTTACTGCTCAATGAAAAATTAATAAATCCCTTGATGGAAGGTGAATCCCTTATCCAATGCCAACAGAGTTCACAAGTGTGCTGCTTTAAATTTGTGTTCAGTTAAAGGGTCAGTGCGCCAACATTATTATTATTTACCCTGTTCTTCTTTACAGTGTCTACCATTATTGTGATATGAAAGCCTTCATAATCTATGACCTAAGTAGTAAAGCAGTTGAACCCTATGAACCTTCCCAGTAGTTACAATTGCTTTCCGTCCTTGTACGCAGTAAAGGCCAGACAATTTTCAGTCAATGGCATGATAGAAGTCCCATTATTTTCAGCACCCTCAACCTTGTTCTCTTTTCTGTTTGTAACCCTCTTTTCGCTCCTATTCTTTGTAGAGAGTTGCCATATAAAAAGTCTGTATTTGTCAACTATTACCAAACAGTGATGTCACACTACTATAGTTTTTCCTCTGCTTTTGCAAGGATATAGTAGGTGCAGTAGCAGCTTAATCAGTACTGACTTCTTAATGGCTTTCACTATATTCACTGGGAATTAATCCCTTTCATCTGGTTTGTAAATGGCAAGAAGAAAATTTGGTTTGATTTAGATATACACTTTGGCAGGTTAATCTTTAATTTTAATGTAGGTTGCTTAGTTGCCTCATCACAGGCACCATATCAGCGTATTAATTTTAAAAAAAATATTCTCTAACGTATTATTCAATGTATTTTCTGTTACCTGGTATACTTAGATTTGATACTACTTACACAGTAAATCCAGCAGAAACAAAGTAATATTCCTATTTAGCATTTTCAGAATTAAAAAACAAAAAAAAGTTTGTCAAACAGTCTAGCTTCCTCAGGGTAGGTGTTACTTGCCTTGTTTTGAATCAAATAAAAGTGTGATTTTTACATGATCCTGTAAACTGTCTGAGCGTAACTTAAGTGGTACTTTTGCTTAACAACTTTCAGATGTACAGCAATTTTGATCTGACAGCAAACACTTTCTAAAAAAATTATACTACCACCATTTACATTCAGTTTCCATTATTTTATGGTGTGCTAAACAACTGAAGAATATTTCTTATGTTCTCCTTCCTCCTCTCTCATTAACGAACCGTATTATGCACAACTTCTGACAAAAACAGGGGTTAACTGTACTTCTTCCGTCATCATATCAGTTTGATAACATTGCAGTGTGAAATGGGCATGCACCTTTTCTTTCCCAGTGGAAAGAGTTACAGAAATAAAGAGAATTATTTAGGTACAAGCACTAGAATGCATGGCAGGAACTATGACAATTAACCACACAGTTACATTCTACTCTCTATTTAAAGCTTGCAGAGATAAATCATACACTGCATTTTGATCTAAACAAACTATAAGGAGCACACAAAACATCAGTATTACCTGTATATTAGCACCCAAAAAATTAAAATAATGAAGTAATGTGAAATTTCTGTTTGGATCACATAACAGTGGCAATCCAGTAATGTCAAATTGGATCTTTTAACACTAGACTGGACAAAGTGTTCGAAAAGAATACTGTAAAGAAAACAACTGCACTGGGAGGAATCTAGACTGGATGACGTAATAGGTCTTTTCCATCTCTAACTCCTGTTATTTTAATCCTGTCAGAGACTTTTTTCCTTAGGTTGATCGCATAGTTTATAGAGAGCAAACCAAATTTATCTGTCTTTGTACATTAAACTTTGATCCCAATCCTACTCTCATATCAGTTAACAGGAACTTTGTCACCGACTTCAGTGGAACCAGCACGGGGTCTACATTTCACTATTCATAAATTCTGCATACTAGACTCCATCAGATTAATTAAGATTTGTACAGCTATATCAATGACAATACTGTACTTCCTGCATGTCTAGCAGTGGTACGTGTTTTACCACCTACACAGTCAAAATCATGAAGCATGTACAAGCAATGATCACCTCTCCGATGAGCAATGCACAACTGATTTTGAGCCAGAGTGCAAGTGATAAAGTTGCTGCTCAAAAGCTGAGAAAAAGCTAAAAGTCTGGTAGGAACCATGAAAAGCAATGTAAGTCTCAAGGGAAAGAACTGAACATTGCTTATGCTTGAAGATAAGGGCTAAATCTACATCATTTACTAGGTGTGAGAGGTATTTATGACTACTTCCTTATGAGATAAATGTACACTATGAATTAACACTTAAAAAACCCCAGAATTCTGCATGAATCTCCATATAAGTATCACAAAGACTCTCTTACTGTTCCAGGCATATGACCTCTTTCTTGTTTGCCATTCTGAGGACTACCATTTTTCAGCTTTTTCTTCTTCTTCACTGTTTCTTTGTGTTCTCTCTGTTTGTTTTGTACTTCGATGAGGACAGATATGAAGCTATTTTTCACTTCCTTTTCAAACTCCAGCTCATCCCTTAGAGCCAACTGCTGCACCAGCTCCTCAGAATAATCCTTAATGGCAGCCTCAATTTCTTCTAGTAGTTCATTTAGTTCAGCAACAGACAGTTTTTGTACTCCTATTAAAAAAAGAAAGAAAGAGAGAGTATGTTCTGCATAATGTATAAAAAGTGGTGTCAGTTTTTTAGGCATGGGGAGATTATCAACAAAAATGATTCTTAATTATCCCAAAAGTTTTGATAATTTATACTTCCACCACCAAAAAGATGCCATAAATAATTCTAACACAAACACACTATGTGCTTCTTGGGGATACAAGTTCACCATGAGCTTTTTTTAGGTTTGCTATTAAAATATGAAAATAAGAAAATAACCACAGCTTTTTGATTACCCCAGAACTTGGTGAAAAGTTATACATAATCTTCAAATATAGGATGGCAGCTCTCCCTAAAGAAAGTGTGGTGAAACTGCACAAGAATCATCTCCTGACATGACAAACTTGCTATCTATCAGTTTATGTCTATTTTTTCCTCTCTCTCTTTCTCTCTGAAAAGCTATTGAAAAAGTTATGGCAGGACAACCCATGGTCATTTCTGGAGTCTGCATATTTCAGGCCTGGTATGATCAAGAGTTCCATTGGGCGATGAAATAATAACTATGGATACTGTTGCTGATTCTTTTAAATCCATGAGAAGCTTTTGTAACCAGTGATCACAAAATGCTGCTGACATCCGCAAATCGTAGGAAGAGTGGATGTGTCACTCAACTGGCTTTGCTCCTTTCTTACAGATCCCACACAGTAGTTTTGGGTAACTGCTCATTTCCTCCAAGGACTCTCACAAGGGGTGGTACAACAGCCTATTTGTTCACCCTGAACAGGAGGGGTGACAATCAGGTCAGTGGAAGGCTAGTGAGAAAATAGGGTTGTGATATATTTTGCATGACAACAATACACAGCTCTATGTCTCCTTCTTCTCTGTTCAGGCTGGTGTGGTAGGGAATGGATGACCTCATGTCTCTGAAATAGGGACTAGATGAAGACTAGCTGACACGCAAATCAGACAAGAAAGAAGTGATGTTGGGTCAGCTATGGGGCGCATCAAAATACAATAGTGAAAGTTACATGGGATACTCCCTCTGTCAGGTATGTCCACCATTTGCAACACAACTTTGCCTTTTAGAGTATTATCAGCTCCCAAGTGGCTCAGATAGTAGGTGTGACAAACAGGAATCAGCAGACATGTTCAAGTTAAAGCCTGCTTGATTTAAAAGGGAAGATGCTGATCAAGGAATGTTCTCCATGAGCTCTGTGGCTGTAGAATTCACTCCTGCACCTAAGTTTGCCAGAGTTGGAATTTGTTACCATCTAGGCATGCCACAAAGCCCATTTTTTCCCACTGGCATTTGGGGAGCAGGTCAAAGAGGGGACCTGAAGAATATGATACATATAATGTGATGAATGAGATGGATATTATTGTGTGGTCAGGTTCAATTAGCAGGTATTTTGTAGATTTTATATTGTTGCAAAATTGTTTTAAGGATGTTAAACTGCCTACCCCATAGATAGGTGCTGAAAAAATTAAATATATCTACAAGTACAACACAATACAACTCCCGCAAGTAGCAGAGGATATAACTGAAACATGATTTAATTTCTTCAACTACCCAATGGGAAAATTATACTGGAGCTAGCTCTTCTTCACTCCCTTGCTAAGGGGGAAATCAGTAGCATTACTGTAGATGGTTCTTCATTCTGGCAAGGGACTAAAGGGCAATCTTTACATCCTCAGAGCAGCTTAAGCCTCAACCCACTTTAAAAGCTTAAAACAGTTTAGGCTTAAACCCTTAGAAAGCATTAATGGGGTTCAAACTGCCGAAGGCCTTTAAAACTGTTTAAGATGCTTACGCCACTCTATATTTTCAGCATGTTGGCTGTGGCCTCTACTTAGAATCATAGAATTGTAGGACTGGAAGAGACCTTGAGAGATCATCTAGTCCAGTCCCCTGCACTCATCGCAGGACTAAGTATTATAGACCATCCCTGTCTTGTAGTATAGCATCTTGGTTATGTCATGGTCAATCAGTTTCTGAATAACTTGGTGCCCCAATGTGTCCAAAAAATTGCAGGGCTGTTAACATTCAGTAAAATCAACTCTGATTGTCAGTGCTGGCAAAACAAACATGCCAACCTAGGTAAAGACATTCTGATGACGTAACTGGCAACTAGAAGAGAGTGAAGTTCTCATATGCAGATTAATTCTGAAACTTCTTTGCAACAAAAGAAACTGAGGTAACCACCACTTTCTGTGGGGCAATGACCTTAGAAGATGTCAGAGTAAATTCTGAGGCATTGGCAAAGCAAAACTAAATGATTTTTTCATGCAAACCAAAGCATCAGTTGGTCAAAGCTGACTGTTCATCCATAAAAAAAATGAATGACAGGAATAACTGATAAGGAAGAGCAAAATGAATAGCATATGAAATACAAAACAATGCTGAATATCAGAAGGTCTCTGAGAACACCTGAATTTTTTAGAAAATGTGGAAACCTTACTCAATAGGCTTTGAAGTCTATACCTTGGATTTCCCATCTCTGAAATGCATATTTTGAAGCCTTAGAACAGTGATTCTCAAACTTCATTGTACCACAACCCCCTTCTGACAACAAAAATTCCTACATGACCCCAGAAGGTGGGAGGCAGGGGGAGTGAAGCCTGAGCCCACCCAAGCCCTGCTGTCCTGGGCAGTGGGGGCCCAAAGCCGAAGGGCTTCGGCCCCAGGCGGTGGGGCTCAGGCTTCAGCTTTGGGCTTGGACCCCAGCAAGTATAATGCCAGCCCTGGCAACCCATTAAAATGTTTGAGAACCGCTGCCTTAGAGAACGCTGCCTGGGATTCCCAGAGACCAGCCAGGACAGCACCAGCCAGGACAGTTTGCAGCCTAAGTTTACACTAAAGACAGCAAGTCATCTTGCCAAATGCCAGGTAGTTTTGTGGAGAGACTTTGGACAATACAGACCCAGAAAGCAGAAGTGAGAATGCTGTCAAAGCATTCTAAATCCAACCAAAACCAGAATGATGTGGTGACAGCCACTTTTTGGGTCCATGTCTTTTCCCAGAGGGCAGTTTTGAAGTACAAGCCAGCAGAGCACAATCTTCAGGGGCATAACTTAACTCTGTTTAGCCAAGAGTTTCCTTTAACTGCCATTCAGTATATCATGGTCACACTATAAATGTGAACTCTCCTAAGTCTTCCTTTTTTGCAAGACAAAGATGGGAATTAAGTATTTTCCTTTGGCACAGAATAAAAGAAACAGTTACTTACTGTAACTGTGGTTCTTTGTGGTGTGATGCAGACATGTATTCCACTTTGGTGTTTGCGCCCCTAGCATGCTGGAGCCTTTTGCCTTGAAGTACTCAGTGGTGGGGCTCATGCCTCGTGGTCCCTCTCCTGGCTATATGAGGCAGTGCCACCCCGACCCCTGCCAGTTCCTTCAAACCGAAATCCCATGAGAGGAGACTCCTATGCAGAGGGGAAGGAGGGAGGGTTGTGGAATACACAACTGCATCACATCTCAAAGAATTAAAGTAACAGTTTATTCTTCGAGTAGATGCAGATGTGTATTCCACTTAGGTGACTCACAGGTAGTATCCCAATCCAGAGGCAGGGCTTTGAGTCTACTGAAATAGGGATCACAGAACCACCCTTGCAAGGCCTGGGTCTGCTCTGGAAGACGCAGTAAAATAGCATAATAGTCCGTAATCGTATATATGGATGACTATGTGGCTGCCCTGCAAATGTCCAGTTTGGAAAGGTCACTGAGGAACACTATTGACGTCACTTGTGCCCTGGTGGAGTGAGCCCTGCTGAGGAGGCATAGCCGAAGCTTTGCCATACGCATTCTTAATGCAGGATGTTATCCATCTAGAGATAGTCTGTGCTGAGACCGCTCACCCTTTCATGCAGTTTGCATATGACATGAACACGCGAGGCAAAGCACCAAACAGTCTAGTCCTGGCTAAAGCTAGAGTATGGAGGTGCCTGACATCCAGAGCATGGAGATGCTGTTTCTTTGGGGAGGAATGCAGTTTAGGGAAAAAACACAGATAAATACATCTCCTGATTCAGATGAAACTGAGACCACCCTAGATAAAAATTTAAAGGGTGGTCACAATGTTACCTTTTGCTTGGACTAGTCAGTGTAAGGCGGCTCAGCCATTAGAGCCTGCAACTCACACATCCTTCCTGCCAACATGATGGGTATCAAGAATGCGGTTTTCTGAGACAGGAGGGGCAGTGGATAGGATGCAAGGGGCTTGAATGGAAGGCCAGTCAGAGCCACCAGAATCGTGTTTAGGTCCCACATGGGAACCAGATCCCGACTTGGAGGATGGAAGTGGAGAAGCCATTTCAGAAATCTTGACACCATGGCATTGGAAAAAACTGACTTCCCTTAAATAAGGGGATGGAATGCAGATATTGATGCCAAATGCAATTTCAGTGAACTGAGCGCAAGGCCCAATTTCTGAAGATGTAGTAGGTACACTAAGATGTCCTGGATGGAAACCAGAGTCAGTTTGGGTCCCACAGACCAAGAAACTCTTCTACTTAACTAAGTAGGATATCCTTGTGGAGAACTTCCTGCTACTGAGTAGGGCTTGCTGGACAGCCACTGAGCACTGCTCTTCCTCTTCATTCAGCCAAATAACAGCCACACCCTAAGGTGCAGGGAGCTGATTGCAGGATGGAGGGTGTGGCCGTAGCTCTGAGTGAGCATATCGGGGTGGAGAAGAAGCAGTATGGGAGACTGAACTGACAAAGCAAGGAGGTCTGGGCCACGCTGGGGCAATTAGGATGAGCTTGGCCTGATCTGTCTTGAGCTTGAGGAATGATCAGAGTAGGGAGAGAGGCATACAGAAGAGCAGACTGTCAGCTGCAACTGAAGGCTTTGGAGAGGGAGTCTGGACCAATGCCCCCCAGAATAGAACAGAATAGGCAACACTTTCTGTTTTCCCTCATCACAAACAGGCTGATCGTGGGGATGCCCCACATTGCGAAGATGACCCAGAGGATGCTGGCCTTCAGGGACCACCCGTGGCTCAGAAAGAAAACCCGGCTGAC